ATAACTTCTGTAGATATTAGGTTAAATATAGCTTCTGTAGATATTAGGTTCAATATAGCTTCTGTAGATATTAGGTTCAATATGGCTTCTGTAGATATTAGGTTCAATATGGCTTCTGTATATATTAGGTTCAATATGGCTTCTGTAGATATAAGGTTCAATATGGCTTCTGTTAAAATTAGGTTCAATAGTGCTCCTGTAGATGTTAGGTTCAATATAGCTTCTGTAGATATTAGGTTCAATATGGCTTCTGTAGATATAAGTTTAATATGGCTTCTGTAGATATAAGGTTCAATATGGCTTCTGTTAAAATTAGGTTCAATATGGCTCCTGTAGATATTAGGTTCAATATAGCTTCTGTAGATTTAACAGATAACTGTATTGTATTTGAAGCTTTGCGGACGTCCATCGGTAGTTTTACTGTCGCAAATTTAGTTTACCTGGCGACGCGTAGCTGAGACAGGTAAACGGGTATTTGCTACAGTAAAACTACTGATGGACGTCTGCAAAGCTTCAAATACAATACAGTTATCTCTATTCTAATGGAAACCAAGTACATAATTCAATTTCAATCATTATTTCAGTGTAAAATTTTCATTAAAGAAAATTCCGCGAAAAGATGTTATCTTCTTTGGCCCCTAAACTAGGTGACGTCATAGGTATGCTTCCGGCGTCAAACGTAAACGCCGGGCGTTTTCTGGCTTCTTGACCGCTTCAGAATGTAATAAAATTTGATAAAAAGAAGATTTCTAGGTGCAACATGTGAGTTTTTTGCTAATTATTGTAGAAATTACATGTCAATACATTCCGCAATTCAAAATGTTGGCTTCCTTAGTTACAGACAAGGAGATAGAGAATTGTGCGCTTACTGTCATCCAATCAGAACCATTGAGATACAAAATAATTGCATTAGAAATTAGGTTCAATATGGCGCCTGTAGATATTAGGTTCAATATGGCTTCTGTAGATATTAGGTTTAATATGGCTTCTGTAGATATAAGGTTCAAAATAGCTTCTGTAGATATTAGGTTATATATAGCTTTTGTAGATATTAGGTTCAATATAGCTTCTGTAGATATCAGGTTCAATATGGCTTCTGTAATATAAGGTTCAATATGGCTTCTGTAGATATAAGGTTCAATATGGCTTCTGTAGATATTAGCTGCAAGTTCTCTGTTGCAGAAAAACTTCCATTTGAATCCCCCTGTTTGACAGAACAGGTAAGAGGGTTCAAATGGAAGTCTTGCCTCTGCTGCATCCAAACAATCTGTATAGTTCTAAAGGGTTTTAATTTCCAACAGTAAAACTTAATATATCTATTGTTTTCCCTCTTTAAGTAACATGCAGTGAAATATAACTTACTATATTAGTTATTTATAAAGCAAAATAAGGACACAGCTGTAATGACTGAGAGGGTCTAGACTAATTACTGTAAAATGTGCTTTGATGAGAAAATTATTGTCCAAGGTTAATAAAAAGGACATTTTTCTGTTTACTTAAAGTCAAATCCTTTTAACTACATATATTTTATAATTTTATAATACTACTTTAAATCCATAAATGTCAATTTCATAGCAAAATATATGTTGGAGAGTGCCATTAACTTACTTTCTAAGTTATAATACTGTGTTACTTTTATTATCTCTTTACATTTACTGCATGTAAAACTACTCAGAATCATAGATGTCATTTTTTATGGTGGGTCAACATTTTTTTTGCATTCTTTTCTCTGATCATAAAACAGTGTTTCCCAGGCAATGCTGATGAAATAAGGATTATCATAGGGTATTTTCTGCAACACAGTAGTTAGCAATCAGTTTTTTTGGTTCCAGCATTATTCATTTATATGTATATATGTGTGTGTGAATATATATTTATAAATTTGTGTATTGCGTTTAAGATGTCCTTGTTTAATTCCTACGAGAAGGTAACACCTCCCGAAACGAAAGCTGATTTTTATCAGCTATAGTTAGAGGAGGGGATAAGGTGTCTGTGTAATGCTAGGCGGTGTTGTCATAGAAGTATGAAGTGAAAAGTACAGGTTCCAGCCCCGGTCGGGGAGGAAGTAAAGAATCAGATCTTCTCTAACATTGTTAGGTTGATTTTCTAGGCACTTTATAAATATTCTAATGCCTGGTATTTCTTAATCAAAAGAAATCTGATGAACAAGGTATAATTTACAGTTGTCATTACACATAGGCAGACATATATATATATATATATATATATATATAAACAAGTTTAAATTGAAAACAACGTTCAAACCTATGATTGCGTTGGATAAAAACCGCAATTTTTATACGTGTGCATGCAAAACAAATTTCTTGGTAGAGGGGTCTAAATACAGCACAAACAAAATTTTCAGAAAGACCAAAAAAGTGAAAAAGTATATTTTAACAAAACGCATTTGACTAGCTGTGAGGTCGAACAACGGATGTTCTTAAACCCTGCTGACTGCCATTGGTGATTGCCAAATAAATTGATCACCAGATGTAACAAAATGGATCTTAACTATTAATTTAATAACAAACAAAAAACAATAAACTTGCGGAAAAGATGGTATACCGCAAACATTAGGTGCAAAAATTAGTACACCATATCCTGATTTCGACAATTAAATGTCTCTTCAGTGATGTTAGGAATCTAATTACACCTTATGTAAGAATCCTGGGTTTTGATTGGTTGATAGCCAGTGTATTTTTCACCAATTTACTGTTATCAAATGAATATCGTTCATTTTTTAACGCCTGGGGTATATGCAAAAAGGATATGCCTTTTTTACCCTCTCTGCCATGGTATTTGCCAAAAAATACTCTATCCGACTGGACGCTTGTAACGTCATGATCATCAATGCGTTTTTGAACGTTAACATTCGGTGTAATTAAACAGATATAGCATGTTCTTGAGGGGTATTTGCGAAAAATACCAGTCTTGAGAATGAATTTCCCTCGCCTTACGGCTTGCGAAATTTAACATTCTCTCGACTGGTATTTTTTGCAAATACCCCTCCTTAACATGATATATCTGTTCAAAAACGGTATTTGGAAGGCCATATAATTTACCTCAATATAGGATAGACTCTTGAATTTTGAGGAGTCAAAATAGGATGAATGGATCATATAAACCTGAAGGCAAATATAACACAAGCCAAAAAGAAAAAATATAAACAAGTCTAAATTGAAAACAACGTTCAAACCTATGATAAATATATATATATATATATTATCAAGTTTCATCATAAAATATTTAAATCATCTGTGTTTTTAAGTCACCTGCCATCTGACAGTCGTTTAGTTTATAACGGATATTTTTGACATCTTTAATTTAAGATCAGTCAAATGACAAAATTTTCTTAAAATAATTGGTCAAAATTTTTTTGGAATTAGCAAGTTTTGATGCAAAAGTGAAATCATATGTCTGACTATACATTTGAATCCCTAAATTCATGTGATTTTATACATTTGTAATCAAATTTTAAATATTTTTACTGAATTTAAATTTCACAGATTTATAGTGCCTGAATATTGACCCTAATCGGGACCCTTCTCCTTGGTCACTGTAACATAATAAAGATTTTTAGAAGCATCACCAAGAAATTGACAAGATAGACATGGAGCAGTACCTGGTTAATTCACACCAACATGTAATCAAAAATTCAATTTCTTCTCCAATTGAATGTTATCAGGCAAAACAGCCAAAATCTGATACTATCTGGACATGCAACTTAAAAATCTGAAACCAAAAGGCTCTGTAATAATATTAACTCCCGTAACACGACATCATTTTGTTATGACTATCTATGCAATTTTTCATGTTCTCTTAATTGTCCTGAATATGCATTTAATGTCCCACTGGACGTTATTCATCAATCCTTCCAAGTAATTTTTCCAGTACAATAAAAAGGACATGACACTTTCCTATGTTTTGTTGTATATCTATCTATTCTTACATACAAAAAGTAAGTAGGAAGACATTATTGATTATTTACATGCACTGATTTATTCATTCTGACCCTATGTCTTTGATTAAACACAAAATCAATGATATCCAATAGCTATTTCATGATCTAAAACATTATGGGCAATATTTTCAAAAGCGTACACTTAAAATTAAGTAATTGACAGATGGAAAGCCTGGGGAACATGATGTCATTTTCATTCTGGTTTACACAACATGTTAAGATCATTAAAACTCTCAAATTAATAATTGTCTCAGCTATCATTGTACAGTCAACCATGTAATACAGCATCATTACCATTGTCTTCATAGAAAACCTTCTGAAAAAGCAGCTTTATGGCCAATTCATACAATACCCTTTCTATTTTATACCAATTAATTTTACTTTCATAAAGTTACTGGGAACTTTCCCATTTTCTAATCTTTTCTCATCACAATTAAGTAACCTCTAGATGTCTTTCAGTTGTTGTGTATTTGGGTTGCTGTTTAAATAATGAAAACCCAAACCTCCTTTTCTTCATAAAATATTGTGATATATGCACAATCCATTTTCAGAAAAAAAGAAGTGATGCAACAAGGTCACATTATATTTTTAATTTTATTTCAGTCCATAATTTTTTTATTTGGTTTTCAGTTGTTTGTTGCCCAATAGTTGAACATTTGCTGTCAGACTATAATGGACAGGTATTAATGGAGCCTAAACTTTAATCTTAATATATTCATAGTTTCAAATATCAGTTGCTTAAATTATTGAAATATTCTAATTTAAAACAAGATACCATTTTCAATATATTTTATTGTTTGAAATTTGTGATTTCTTGTTCCTATTTGTGGGTCACTACTTCTAATTGACAAAAGTCTCCACTTAGGTCTTTTCATAGCAGCAACCTATTTATATTCTATGATTAATTCAGATCTGTTCTGATGTTTTATGACAATGTTTTAGCTGAAGGACCGTAATTATTACTTGACTGGTATACAAAAATAGAAAACATGATCAAACTTAAACATCAATAATATACAATGAAAAAAGAACAAACCAGTTCAAGAAAATAATTTATTTTTGGTAGTATTAACAGTTTGAGCACTAAGGTGTGATAACGTATCAACTATAGATTTAACATGTAATATATGATTTCTAACATGGCCATATTTGACTTTAATGGTCTGGTCTAGGACCCAGTCTTTACAGTTCATACCATAATTAGACAGGCAAGACCTGTAATGGTGTAATAAGACTTTGGATGTTGGTGGACTAATTATTTTATACTGTTCTAATAAGGGTTTACTGACGTGGTGTATTCCTACTTCAAATATGGCAGACGGTTTAACTAGCACCTTGGTTCGGAAACGACTGAAATTCTTAGTTCTCTTAATACTGCTTATCGCTAAAACATCACCTCGTAAGGTTGTGTCGAAAAATGCACTATGTATGCCTAGCCCTTTGACATTTCCAGAAAGCAGAGGTGTCAAAGATTGGTCCCAAAAGACTGTACTGTCATGAGGTACAATCAATTCATCAATGTCCTGAATAGCTAATTTATCTGTTAGACTCATAGAGCGATAAAGACAATCATTGTGAGCTATTAACTGTCCATGGTACCATATCTGTCCGTCTTGTACCATGTCAGGTAGTTTCCATGGTATCACTGTGACCAGACTTTCGTTGGAATAATGTTCTAAAGCTATTTTACTTTTCTCGTCCTGAATCCCATGAGTATAGAATATAAATTTTTCCGCACCTAAATATTTTGTAAATTCCATGAATTCTATTAATCTTGAAGAATTGACACTACCAAATAATGGTGGAATACATACACTGTATTGGACTTTGGTATTTTGTGAATCTAATGGTATTATATTTAATGTTACATTGTTTGCTTTGGTTGATGCTTCTGTATTAAGTATGGAACTGACAGTCACTTCACAAGGATCTGGGATATTTTCTGGAATCGGACATGACATTATCCAACCTCCAAATTTTTTATTGTGATTCTCACACATTTCATATTTTATGGCAGTAACTTTTATTAAGTTGTCTCCCTTGAAAGAGCAAATGACATTAATATTATCTTTCTTGCCTCTCAATAGAATTGACATAATCCTCACGTATGTACTATTCATCCTTTTGTCCAAGTAAGCCGTGTAGACATAAAATAAATTTTCAGCAACAGTTTGGAAAGAAAATTGAGTAGTTTCCGATGAGAGATGGCAAGGTGCTTTGGTGAGTAGCTCTGTTTGTAATCTAGTCAAACTTTGAACGTGGTCCAATGCTAGATGATTGTAGGAATTATTACGAATCTGATATTTCTGGTTCCCTGTTTGAGACAGACATATTTCTACTTGTAATCGGCTATGTAGCAATATAATCATCAGAAAGTATAACCCAGAAATTGTCACCATGTAGAAATAGGTGTTTTTACTTCTTTTCATAATCCCCCGAAAACACACGTCCTCTGGTTATCTCTGAAAAATGAATAAAAGAAAGAGTAAACAAGGTTGTAAACAAATAATCTAACAGGTCCTACACAATAGACGTATTTTCACTTGTATGCAAATTTGTCCGCCATTACGTAAAATCACACAGGTTCCAGTAATCTTTGACATCATAATTCAAAACATTTGACGTCACAATTAAAAAGTGATTGTTGCCTGACATCAAAAGGTGATTCGGAGTAGATCTAAGGTCATTCGGAGGCAAAATATAGCTAAATACCAAAAGTGTAAATACGTTTATTAAGACAAGATAATCTGATACATCAGTTGCGTGGAAAATATATAAAATGGAGTTCCAATAGTCCTGATAAAAATGAAATACACAATAATAACCATTTTATCAAAGGAAAAGGGACTTTATGGCTGTTCTTCAACTTGATGTTTCCTAGGTCATCAAAACTAAAATAAATAGGTCAAGCTTACAACCAAATGAAGACATTTACCTTAAAGAAATCTGCTTCCAGACTGTCTAAGACAATCTGTTGACCTCTGAGTAGGTCTCTTTTCTGGGTTTATTCTAATAAAAATACTTTTGATTTTGAATAATATTACTTTCCTAACTGAAAAAATCCCTTTGTTTAATTTTCCATTTCTAGGCTATCTATTTTTGTGAAAAAATATTAATTAAACATAAAGTTTGATCCTGACATTTCCCTACACAAATTATTGAACATGTGTTTTATAGTAAATATTGATACCATTTTAAAAGAGCTTTTTGTATTAAAGTTGTATTTCAATTAAAAATGTTTTAATTTATTTATAAACCTATCTTATCAATTGTGATAAAAATCAAGCTAGTTTTAGATACAGATTTGTCATGTATATTTTGTTTCTTTATCTTTTGTAAATGACTATACATGGTAGGTTGTATAGAAATAAGCATAGACAGTTATATTTCTTTGATTACACCTGCCATGAAATACCTTTTGACAAAAGTTTATATTTAGCTTTGGTACTGTTGTAAGGTGATTCTTTTCTAGACAAAATATTGAATATATGAAATCAGAAGTCTTTCAGCATTACACAAAATAATGTAAGGCTAATTTTTCATGTCCAAATGGTCAAGCATAAATCAGAGATATTTTGAACAGTTTCCCCAGGATGGGATACAGTAATAATATATATTTACAAATAAAGTAATAATAATTATAAAACTAATTCTTATCTTACCTTATCTCACATTAAATATACAAAAAATGTTTTTTTCATACTTTTTAAGTGAGGAAGTTGAGTTTTATGAAAAAAACATTTTAAATCAAGAAATATTTCCCTATTAAGAAAAAGTTGTCCTACCTTATAACTTGAATATGAAAGTAGATACAGTCCATTTTTATAACAAATTTATTGAACTTATTTTATATAGCTAATTTTGATGATACTTGTAACATACAAACAAACAGATCAAGATTCTATATAAACATTATAAGAATCCATCGAACAAACTTGATACCAGGTTACCTGGTCTTAACCAATATCATAGAAAAACATGTGAACCTAAACTATTGATAAATATTTTGATTTTATTATCGATCTTTTAAGCTGATTTATCAATATTTAATAAAATCAAATTTTGAGTATGTAAAAAAACATTAAATCTCTATAATTGGAAATTTCTAGGAAGAATAATCATACACCTGAAGTATTATATTGGAATTATCTATTATATTAGATTCCGTAACATTGTCATTATAAATTGATCAGACCTGAATTCAATAGAAGAAGATCTAGAATAGACAATAGTTATTTCCCTGCCAGCTTTTATCTATACCATAAAGCACCAAAGGATTAACATTATAAACTTACAAACTTCATCTTATCACACCTGTATATATTGTGCAGTAAAATTCTTTCAGTACACAATATTACATTTTTAAATGTCATGAATTTTCTACACCATAAAACCATAAATAATTATAATGAACCTGAGATAAAATAAAAATAAAAAATATTTGAAAGCAGTTATTTGATTTAAATATGATATTTATGAGGGCAGGTCAGTTTTCATTATCAAGTTTAGGTTACCTGGAATGTTTAAAGTTAAGGTACAGTCTATGGTCAAATCAAAATATTTAAGAAAAATCTAACTGAGGGCATCATGCTTTATTTAAAAGTAATACGATGAAAAGGTTTTTCTTGTCGTATAACACACCTCAGGGTGTCAGAATTACCCAAAGAAAGACTTCCCTACGGTCGGTCTTTCATTTGATCAATCCTGACACCCCTTGGTGTATTATACGAAACAAAAACCCTTAAAATATGCATTATCTATAACATAAACATCTGAAAAGAAAAGTTATGTCATATAAAATGGAATTGGTTTACATGGTCCTATGTCTAGAGTTTTTTGTATTTTTATAAACATTTAATTTTAAATGGTCCTATACATAGTTTTTCAACTTTTATAAAAAGCAATTATTTTTGTAGTCCTTGCACACAAGAGTTAATTTTTATTTTTTGCCATACAGTGCCTGAATCTTTTACTTCTTTCTTTACTTTTTCAAAACATTTGATTTTTTGGTTGTTTATCATGTCAATTTTTAACATATGGTTCTCTTATTCTGCATAGTTCATCTTATAATTTTATATGTGTTTAAGATAAAAATAAAATTTCAATTTCAAAAGAAATGACTAAACAGCAATTGCTAATACAGATATGCCTTGTGTCTGTAGAGTTCAACTAAAGTTTAAATGGTGGGTAAAATGGGAACCTTGTCCTAGCAATATTCATCTTTGACATATTTATTAAGAATGTTATATGAAGGTAGGGCTAAGAGGTAGCATCTGGTCCCTGCAGCATCAATCAATAGTTTAAATAGCACCTAAGATTACCCCTGAATTTTGGCGGTGTTCGTGTTGCTCAGTATTTAGTTTCCTTGTTGTGTTTTGTACAACGTTGTTCGTCTTTTGGTCGTTATTCGTTTTTGCCGTGGCGCTGTTAATTTGACTTATTTTGAATATCCCTTTGGTATCTTTCCCACGCTTTTAATTAATCATTTAATATTATGTAAAAAAATTATGGCAGAAATAAAAGCATTCGTTTTTAAGTATGCATTAAAAGGAATCATATAAAATGAAAATAAATGGTATTATAATTTATACGCCAGGAAATCATTATTTACATTTTTTCCTTTTTTCGAAAAAAAAACATGAACATATTCTAGAAAATTTCTATGCTGTAATGCCACCTTACCTTACAAAGTATTTAATCCCATAGCATGATAGCTTCAATCACTGGACAAACACTTACTGAGTGTGGAATAATAAAACATCGGAGCTGTTTTATCCAACATAGAAAATTATAACGGAAAAATCAATATATAAAATGCCTGACTGAATGGGATGCACAATAAGGAATTCTTACAGAAAATCTTGACATTTCTTTTTGTTGCTGTGGTTACTAGAGAGATAATTTCAGACATCTATTGTTCTATCAAGGAGATAATAAGGATTGGGATGAATTAGGACTAAAGATTGAAATCTAAATAAATGGAGTGTAATACTCAGAAACCAGGGATTTTTTATAATAAATACTGTGTCTCTGACAGAATCAGACTCTACTGATAAAGCATGTTCTCTCTAAAGCAGAAGTTTTATGTATAGATCCATTGCTTTCTCGGTTAAAAAGTAATTTTTAAATATGTTTTATGTAAAATATAAAAAAGTGAGTACACTATGAGACAGCAAACCAACACACAAATAAATAAAAGAATCTGCAAACACTGTCTTCACCAATTGGCATGTGCTAGAAAAAGGGGCCATATTAGGGCTTATCGAACCTACTTCTTTAAAAATAATGCTATATTTGACCATCAAATTTCCTTGAATATTCATAGTTTTTCAATGATCTTACAATTTAAACTTTGCACTTACTTATCAATTATATTTACACCAAACTACAGTATTATACAGTTTTTTTTAAATTTTGTAGTACAATAAGTTGTCAATGTATGAAAAAATACATAAAAGAATTTCAGGAATTCCAAAAATATAGAACAGGCACACAAAGAATAAGACAGTGTCCAGACAGTTTTAACTTGTACAGGCACACAATGAATAAGACATGGTCCAGACAGTTTTTACTCTTACAGGCACACAACATTTAAGACATGGTCCAGACAGTTTTTACTTGTACAGTCACACAAAGAATAAGACATGGTCCAGACAGTTTTTACTTGTACAGTCACACAAAGAATAAGCCATGGTCCAGACAGTTTTAACTTGTACAATCACACAATGAATAAGACATGGTCCAGACATTATTTACTTGTACAGACACACAAAGAATAAGACATGGTCCAGATAGTTTTTACTTTGTACAGTCACACAACTAATAAGACATGGTCCAGACAGTTTTTACTTGTACAGGCACACAAAGAATAAGACATGGTCCAGACAGTTTTAACTTGTACAGGCACACAATGAATAAGACATGGTCCAGACAGTTTTTACTTGTACAGGCACACAATGAATAAGACATGGTACAGACAGTTTTTACTTGTACAGACACACAATGAATAAAACATGGTCAAGACAGTTTTTACTTGTACAGGCACACAACTAATACAACAGTGTCCAGACAGATTTTACTTGTACAGGCACACAATGAATAAGACAGTGTCCAGACAGTTTTTACTTGGACAGGCACACAATGAATAAGACATAGTCCAGACAGGTTTTACTTGTACATGCAAACAATGAATAAGACATGGTCCAGACAGTTTTTACTTGTACAGGCACACAACTAATAAGACATGGTCCAGAGAGTTTTTATTTGTACAGGCACACAACGAATAAGACATGGTCCAGACAGTTTTTACTTGTACAGTCACACAATGAATAAGACATGGTCCAGATAGTTTTTACTTGCACAGTCACAAAATGAATAAGAAATGGTCCAGACAGTTTTTACTTCTATAGGCACACAACTAATAAGACAGTGTCCAGACAGTTTTTACTTGTACAGGCTCACAATGAATAAGACAGTGTCCAGACAGTTTTTACTTGGACAGGCAAACAATGAATAAGACTTGGTCCATACAGTTTTGACTTTTACAGGCACACAACTAATAAGATATGGTCCAGAGTGTTTTTATTTGTACAGGCACACAATGAATAAGACATGGTCCAGACAGTTTTTACTTGTACAGACACACAACGAATAAGACTGTGTCCAGACAGTTTTTACTTGTACAGGCACACAACTAATAAGACAGTGTCCAGACTGTTTTTACTTGTACAGACACACAACGAACAAGAAATGATTGTAACAGGATGCTGTTACGAAGTCTCCCAAACGAAGCTCCCATAATTCGTAATTCCCAGGGTCGCCTGACATTGGACAAAGTCCTGTGAAAATTGGTTTGGTCCAGTAAAGTTATATGCATTAGTGATGCCTGGGGACTAACCCTGTATATCATTCAAATCATCTTGGCAATACAAACCAGAATATATATGGTTTAGGGGTGGGGATCTCAACCATTTACAAGATACAAGAACATTGGGGGTGGGGGGAACCCATAGGGACTGACCCTAAACGTCATTCAAATGTTCAAGACATGACGAACAGGAATATATATGGTTTAGGGGTGGGGATCACGACTATTTACAAGATATTAGAACATTGGGGGTGGGGGGAACCCCTGGGGACTGACCGTATACGTCATTCAAATGTTCTAGACATGATTAACAGAAATATATATGGTTTATGGGTGGGGATCTCTACCATTTACAAGATATTAGAACTTTCTCAAATGACAGGAGGTCGGGATGACCCCTGGGGACTAACCCTGTATATCATTCAAACCATCTTGGTATGACAAACCAGAATATATATGGTTTAGGGGTGGGGATCTTGACCATTTACAAGATATTAGAACTTTCTCACATGACAGGGGGTCGGGATGACCCCTGGGGACTAACCCTGTATATCATTCAAACCATCTTGGTATGACAAACCAGAATATATATGGTTTAGGGGTGGGGATCTTGACCACTTAAAAGATATTAGAACTTTCTTAAATGGCAGGGGGTGGGGGTGACCCCTGGGGACTAACCCTGAATAACATTTGATGTGCTTTATCATGACAAACCAGAATATATATGGTTTAGGGGTGGGGATCTCGACCATTTACAAGATATTAGAACTTTCTCAAATGGCAGGGGGTCGGGATGACCCCTGGGGACTAACCCTGTATATCATTCAAACCATCTTAGCATGACAAACCAGAATATATATGGTTTAGGGGTGGGGATCTTGACCACTTAGAAGATATTAGAACTTCCTTAAATGGCAGGGGGCAGGGGTGACCCCTGGGGACTAACCCTGTATTTCATTTGATGTGCTTTATCATGACAAACCAGAATATATATGGTTTAGGGGTGGGGATCTCGACCATTTACAAGATATTAGAACTTTCTCAAATGGCAGGGGGTCGGGATGACCCCTGGG